TTTAACGCGAAGAAATACCTAACGATGGAGAAGGCGCGAATAATGAGTTGAATAAATTAGAGTTGATCGAACGGCATGGCTCGGCCATGCAGGCGTGGTCTCTGCTGAATGTTACCTTATATCTTCTTTTCATATTAAATATATTGTTCTTTCTCTAGCCTAACCTTGTTCTACATCATGTATTGGTAATTGATACGATACAGTGAGTTGGTGTAGTTGATGGTGTGACTTCCACGTAAGATCTTATAGATTAGGCAGTCATATCATGACGAATCCACAGATTTAGGATTAGGTCTATTATTAGAGCAGTACTAATATCATAGTAGATCATAAATTCTACAAATCCACCGGACATCGAAGCGGCACACACAGATCTTCCCATAGACGTCAACCCACCAACGAAGGAAGAAATCAGAATGGCCGTCAGACAAATCAAGAACGGGAAAGCAGCGGGACCGGACAACATACCAGCTGAAGCACTGAAGTCAGACATCGAAGCAACTACAAACATGCTTGACCTTCTATTCAAAAAGATTTGGGAGGAGGAACAATTGCCGATGAACTGGAAAGAAGGGCATCTCGTTAAGATTCCAAAGAAAGGAGATCTAAGCAAATGTGAAAACCACAGAGACATTACACTGCTGTCAATACCAGGGAAAGTCTTCCTTTTTTTTGCTTCCTTTCAGGATTCCAAGTTAGGGCTTGCCTCGTGATGCAGTTTGATGATTTGATTGATGTATGTTCTATCAATTTCCATCGTCTTTTCCTAATTTCTTCTTCAGCTGGAAGCTGATTTGTTCTCTCCCACAAAAGGCTGTTACTGATGGTATCCGGACAATGGATGTTGAGTATCTTTCGTAGACAGCTATTTATAAATACTTGTACTTTCTTGATTGTGGTTGTTGTAGTTCAGTTGAGTTCCACTCAACTGAATGTTCGACGATGATCCGTAGTGTTGCAATTTGGTCTGTGCATGATCGATCCTTACGGAATCCAGCTTGTTGATCTCGAAGTTGGGCATCTACTGCATCCTTCATCCGGTTCAGCAACACTCTGTTGAAGACTTTCCCTGATATTGACAGCAGTGTAATGTCTCTGTGGTTTTCACATTTGCTTAGATCTCCTTTCTTTGGAATCTTAACGAGATGCCCTTCTTTCCAGTTCATCGGCAATTGTTCCTCCTCCCAAATCTTTTTGAATAGAAGGTCAAGCATGTTTGTAGTTGCTTCGATGTCTGACTTCAGTGCTTCAGCTGGTATGTTGTCCGGTCCCGCTGCTTTCCCGTTCTTGATTTGTCTGACGGCCATTCTGATTTCTTCCTTCGTTGGTGGGTTGACGTCTATGGGAAGATCTGTGTGTGCCGCTTCGATGTCCGGTGGATTCATTGGAGCCGGCCTATTCAGGAGTTCCTCGAAGTATTCTACCCATCTGTTCCGCTGTTGTTGAATTTCGGTGATTGGCTTGCCTTCTTTGTTTTTGACCGGCCTCTCTGGTTTACTGTATTTCCCTGCTAGTTTCTTCGTTGTATCGTGAAGCTGTTTTATATTTCCTTCTCTAGCAGCTTTTTCTGCCGTCGTTGCTAGTTCTTCCACGTATTTCTTCTTGTCGGCTCTAATGCTCCTCTTCACTTGTTTGTTTGCTTCTATGTATTCAGCTTGTGCTTGGACTTTCTCTGCTCGAGTTCGGCTGTTGTTAATTGCTGCCTTCTTGTTCTTCCTTTCTTTGATCTTGTCCAGTGTTTCTATAGAGATCCACTCCTTATGATGGTATTTCTTTAGACCCAGAGTCTCTTGACACGTTGAAGTTAATGCTTCCTTGATGCCTTTCCAGTTGTCCTCAATACTAGTTTCTTCTTCTTTCAGTAGATCTTGTAAGGCTTGGAAACTGTTGTTGAGAGCTATCTTGAATTCATTGAGTCTGTCAGTATCTCAAAGGAAGGCTGTATTGAGCCTTTGTAGTGCTGTTTGTCCAGTTCTTTTTTAGCTTCAATTTTAAATTGGCCACAACTAGGTGGTGATCTGAAGCTATGTCAGCTCCTCTCCTGGTTCTCACATCTTCCATTGTCCTTCGGAATTTTTTATTGATGCAGATATGATCTATCTGGTTCGCTGTAGTGTGGTCCGGTGAGATCCATGTAGTCTTGTGTATACGCTTGTGTGGAAATATTGTACCTCCTATGACCGATTTGTTGAATGCACATAGATTTGCAAGTCTTTCTCCATTCTTGTTTCTCTCTCCCAGTCCATGTCGTCCCATAATATCTTCATATCCAGTGTTGTCTATTCCGACTTTGGCATTTGGATCTCCCATCAGAATAGTTAGGTCTTTTCTTGGGCATTTCTCAATGACTGACTGCAGCCGCTCGTAGAACTGATCTTTAATGTCGTCGTTGCTATCATTTGTGGGTGCATAACATTGGATAATATTCATTAAGATCCCGTCCTTCTTTGTTTTGAATGATGCTTTGATGATTCTGGATCCGTGAGATTCCCATCCTACAAGTGCATTTCGTGCTACTTTGGACAGCATAAGGGCGACTCCCTGAGTGTGTGGAGCATTGTCCTCTTCGTGACCGGAGTATAGCAGCATCTCTCCCGTAGCTAGCCTTTTCTGTCCAGCTTGGGTCCAGTGGGTTTCGCTGATTCCCAGTACTGCTAAGTTGTATCTCCTCATTTCCATTGCTATTTGACTGGCCTTTCCAGTCTCCCACATTGTTCGAACGTTCCATGTACCTATAAAATTTTTTGCTCTGGTTGTTAGAAGGGGCATCGGCCTCGTGGCTTCCGAAGGAACTCGGCTTTCATCATGAAGCGTCATAATTATTTTAAATGAAGACCTTCTAACTCACAGGGCAGAGTTTAAATGGTTTGGATTATTTTTTCTGGTAAGCGTTTTTTCAGCGAGTTAGTTTTCTACGGGATGGGGACGCTAACCCCATGCCCAACCCTCCTCCTTTACCCGGGCTTGGGACCGGCAGTAACCCTGTAAGAGCTGCATGCGGAGTTCCAGAATAGGTGCACTCATATATAACCACGAAACATCATTTACAAGCTTGGTGCCATATTAACTAGTAGTAATGCTTCTGGGTAACCCCTAACTTATATCCATCAATATTTACTAGATCGATTTAGTTTTTTTAAGACCTGTTTCAAAATGCTGAGAGTATTCGCTTTATGGTCCATACACAATATGAGATTAGACAGACTACCCTTAATTCTTGGTAGATTGAGATTGGAACAAATTTATAGTGTGAAGCAGGATATAATTATATTGGTTCAAACGATCTCATTTCTCACAGAGCTGAAGACATTAAGGCAAATACAACATAAAGACGAGCACGGCAACACATATAAATCACAAGAAAGATCGAGGAGGGGAGGTGTATCTGTTTCGAATAAGGAAATGACACATCTAATGTCTGCTGGCAAGAAAATGGGAAGTAGCACTGCGCGTAGGAGTCCAACAAGTAATCTTTATCGCTTCGTAATAGATAACGTCATTCAAGTAGGGGGACATGCGTGCCCTTCAAAATCAAACATCCGTTTATATTTCCTGGTAAACATTTTGTTAGACTTGATAGTAATGCATCATCATCCATAGAACGCGTATTCTGGTATTACTCACACCCTGAACAGTCTTCGCGAGGATTTCTGGGTCATTAAGCGGCTATTCGAAGAGTCCTGAAACGGTGCTACCTATGCAAAAGAGACTAAACAGTACGCCGTGCATGCAGATTATGGATCCACTAACCGAACGTCTCTTGGAAGCTTACGTACCACCACTTAATGTTAAGAAGAAGCAAGTCGTTGAAAAACGATACGGCCGTTTGTTCACTTGTCTACCTATTCAGGCAGTCCACATCGAAATTGCGCTCTCTTTGGACATTGACTCATTTCTATGTGCTCTCTCAAGATTCGTTGCTAGGACAGGTCATATGTATTTAGTGACAACGGTTCAAACTTCAGAGGAGCCGACGCGTCTTAAACAGATTGTGTGTAGTTGAGAACAGAGCAAGATAGGATACACCCTCTAGAAAAGAGCTTGTGAAAGACAATGTAACCCTCCGAGAGCTAGTCATAGAGGCAGTATATGGGAACGCATCATAAAGTCACTAAGAATGCTGCAATCACTTCTGTTTTTAATAGCGGCTGAAGGAATACAGAATAATTGACCACTCTCAAAGACAGTGACTGTGACAACCTGTGTGTAAGTTATTGTTAGTTTACGGAGGTGTATCATTCGACGGAGCGCAGATGAGTAAAACGTACTTATATAACAGATGAGAGGAAGTGAAACAACAAGTCAACCTATTCTAGAACAGATGGTTACGTGAGTACCTACCAACCCTTCAGGCGAGATCCAAGTGGTTAGACATAAGAAGGTATATACAACCGGGAAACTTAGTGTTGGTAAACGAAATTGGCTCACCGAGAAATCTGTAGCCGTAAGCTATAGTTAGACAGGCCAGTTATGGCCCAGATGGACGAGTCAGAACAGTTCGAATGAAGACAGCAACCGAAGAGGTCAGCTGGGCTCCACGGGACCTGTGCCTACTGGGACAGGCTGATTATTTGAGTGCAAAATATCCCTGCTGCATGTAACCTACCAATTGAAAGACATTATTATCCTATTATATTAGTGTTACTCATACTTTAATTCATTTCGATAAGACACGCAGTACTGGTCGGTATGTTTGTGCGTTTCACTTAATAACCGTAATTTCCTTAATTATTGTACTAAACTAATTGTTTTCACGTTTAGAAACAGATAAAGTTTAAAGCCAAGCTGTCCTTGTTCTGACCATAGCTTTCACATAGACTCCGTGATCGCCAGTATCACGTTTACGGTTTTAGCAGTGTATCTGTAGGACAAATTAAATCCTACATATGTGTTTGGTGCTCCCTTGTACCAACGTTTATGTGTTCAAATAAATAAATAAGATTTGAATGTGTCGACTGAATTATGAAAAACGAGTCACTAAAAGTGATTTATATCTGATGATATTATTATTGAAAATGTACAACTATATGTGATGACTATGAAAACGTTAACGATTGACTGCTGATAAATGGTGTATATTAGTTAAATATGTAAAGGTTCGACTACTTTAGCTGCAACAAATCAACCACACGTGACTCTATTAAGGATTTCTATTATTCTAGGTGCAATGTCTTAAATCTGAATTTTGCTCAGTTTGAAACAATTAAGAGTTACAGAAATATATTACAAGTTTTTTTGTAACAAAGTAACAATCGTAAACTAGAAATAAACAAAAATAAGTGTAAAAATGTATGTACAAGAAGAATGTAAGTTACATATAATCAATCTTATAAAAATGTCTTTCATACTGTACAATTAATGAGCAATTCTTTCAAAATTGATGAACATAGATTATGACCTAAAGTAAAAATATTATTTAACCTGGAATATTCTTGACATACCAATAAATATTAACCTTGTTCCGTTTAGGTTAAGCAATTCAGCTCGTTCATTAGGTATTTGGGAAAGATCATAAATTTCGTTCAATCCCTGTAGACTGTAAGTACAATCATCATCTATGAAGCGAATAAATCCCTTTCAAAGAAGAGAAGACTCATTATGAATATTGAGAACGACTTTGTCTACTAATAAAATTATATTAACATACACTATGAAGAGCATTTTTAAACTATCGCTTCCTTAAAGACTAAGATGTCCCCTTAACGTTTTAAATAGAAAAGAGACATATAGTATTGACGATGACACTTGCACAAAAGTAAGGCGTCGAGTGTATATATTACATAAAACACGTTACAAACGAAATTTTATTTGTAAAGATCCCAAAGACTGACGGAAAGCATCTGTGGCGTCCCACTCACTAGTCTGGTCTAAAAAAATCTATGTAGTAAATCAAACCTATCAAATATATTTAAGATCTCAAAACAACAATGCACTAGACAATTATCGAACCATATCAAAATGTTGAATATGCTTATTCGAGTAGTTTGATGTTAAATATTTTAAAGCTGTAGTACATGAATGTAGATTTTATTAGAATAAGGTATCCACAGGCTATGATCGGGATAAAATTAGTTATTCTGATAAAAATCTGAAAGTCGGACTTCTTAAACTATCTAACTGCATAGATGCTGTGTTATTACTTTGATAGAAAGGGTGTCAAATGCAAACGTAAACATAATAATTACCTGAACAATTGAATGTACATTCTTGTTGATGTCCAGAATGCATAATTTATAAACTATGAATGTAACGGTAATGGATAAACATTTATTTCCATTTATTAGTCATTAGTTGTCATTGTCTCGATACGTATACACAATCCAGTCTACAAGAACTATTATAGGGTTGAGACATTAAAGAGGAAGAATGTATTTGTAAAATCTCAGAGAAAGAATTCGAAGTAAATCAAACGATTCGTCTGACAATCTGGTCCAAGCTTTTTAAAGGAAAATATAGTCAAACAACAAAATTATCGAATATCAATAGGTACATGGTTCTCTGGTTTACTGTATACTGAATACGTCATCCAATCAATGTGAACACTGTTTAAAGTAGGTATTTACAGTGTATAAGAGACATGTGGTGTGAAACCGAAATTGTTAAGATAACATATTGTGTGCTTCGTAGACGCTGGACTTAATTCGGATTCTTTCTCTGAGACTTTACAAATACATTCTTCCTCTTTAATGTCTCACATTAATTCGGCACCCAAATATTGTGAAACTGTTCGTTCAAATTTAGACGAAAGTTCTTATTTATTATAGGGTTGGTTTATATGTATGTGGCTTCCACTATCAGTCATTGTTTATAAGACAAAAATCCTTCCTTGAAGTATTTTGGGTTTTTAAAATCATTTTTATCTCTAGTCCCCACTGAATGTCATGCTATCCTAAGATATTCTGAAGATTTAGGAATGCTTCAAGCATTGTTCTTTCACACTCATCCTCACCTTCATATACGCCAATACAGTCAGTATATTTGATTTCGTAGTCACAATTTGTATCCCCTACATTCAGTATTGCACACTCAACTTTCATTGATACAGAGGGCAGAATAACAGTGGACACATTCGTACTATAGTGGTAGATCCTAAGGAAAGTCACATACGACATTAAATAACTCATTCTTATAGCGAGAAACCTTCACTATTTAAAATGATTAATAGTAATTATGAAGAGAGCATTACCTTTAAGCGTAGAACATTCATTGGATTTCCGCTCTCATCGTGAACACTGTGCTCCCAAAGCATTGACTCTATAACATTTTCAAACAATTTACGACTGAATGGACGAGAAAACTCAAAGGTCAGCGTTGATATTCGCTGAAAAGACGACACATTAAACGTTTTTGATTAAACATACTCTATTCAAATGAATTGATACCGATTTGGAAGACGGAACAAAAGCTTCCAGTTTAGGACTACATTAAAAAAAATTATAATAATACGAAACTTAAATTAAAAACGACCATAACAATATAGTTTTTAAATATGAGGAAGCCGTTTCTAGTCGAAATCGAAGTATACACACCATCAAAAAGTGAATGATATTTTGAAACAATATCAAGTTGATATGATAATACCGCAAGAGCTTAAGGATTGAAGCTATGTAAAGAACGTTATCATATTATTAATGACTTGGTATGCATATAATTACTGGTTTCGATTGACCTTTTCATCCTTTCAGTTGAACGTCAAATATTGACGTAGGTTCTAATCTTATCCACAGCATCACTTCATACTAATAATGAGAATAAAGTGAAATTTGGGAGTCACGATATATCGGTTACATGGATATCTGGTTAGTCAATTTATGCTTTCAGCATCTAAAAGTTTGGTTCATTTAACAAACATTGACGCATCTTGCAATATCTCATTGTTTTGAGGTTTACACGATTAGTTGTGCAACACAAATACCAGATTTCACAAATGACCATTACAAAAAACACAGTACATAATCACACCTAATATTGAATATGTCTCAGTAACCAAATGTAAAACAAAGTGACTTGATGCTCGATTATGAAGACATCGGACTTTAACCCACTTAGTTCAATTAAAAATCTGGAAATCTTAGACTAAATTAGTACCTTAAATCAATGAACAATTCTCTAAAATGAGACTCAAGTAAAGTAGTTATTTGCTTATTCCTAAACTTCAATAGTATCCTCACATGAATCAAAATGCATTTTATAATTATGAATATTTATGACAAGTTTCTACGACAGATAATCTGTTAGTCATGTACAGAGTAAAACTTTTGGTAATAAAAATTTTTGCTGTATTATTTTAACTAGAGAGTTAAATAACAATGGTTAGTCGCCTAGAATTATAGGGTGTTTAGTGACCCCAACTAACTATACGCGATATGATAAAAATTATAAATTCCTTTTAATTTGGATGTACCGTCTATGTCTTATTTTCGAGTTAGAAAATGTGTACTCGATGTGCATATTACTCTAAAATGCGTGCACCACTGTGGCTAACATATGGTCAGCGCCGTGTCTTAAATAGAGCACAACATTCAGAAGTACGGTGTATTGTATCCAGAACACAACACGGGAATCAAATAGTGGACCTGACACGTGATAAATTGTATGCACATGAACAAAACATATTGAATACAAATACAACATGTGCAGTATCACAAAAACTACAGTACGTCTAATATTTTGTCGAGATCATAAAAATTAATTTTTTCCCTCATTATACTACTCAGCCAATATCAGTTACGTAGAGTTTCGGAAATAACAAAATAGAGAGGGAAGCGCACACAACACAGTATCTTAAAATCTCACATATATGAATCAATGATCATGTTCAAACTACAATCGAAGAAATCAGAGATGAAAAATCTAACCAAACACACATTAAACCAACCTGTTAGAATACATCTGAAGATCGAGAATGTCTTCTAAATTCACCCTACAAGTAAATGAATTAAAAACTCAGATTCTAACTTCACAATGAATTCTAAAAAAATAATATTTGAAGAGATGCTATCTTTCGAACATTCAATCTGTTAAAAATCAAAAATCTGATTGTTCAATCTTATTGAGTATCTGGCACTGACGCACAAAATGATAAATAAAGCATTCTAAAACAAAACTCTAGGAGGCGCTGACAAAGTCAATTTGTCAGTCAAAACAATACTTAACACTATGATATGATAGTATCAGTAAAGAGAGTTTACATTCTTAGACATTTAGAATACTTCAACTAACTTTGCATTATCTATCAGACGGTGTAAGCACTTTAAAAAATAACAAAAGCAACTGCTGTCGATACTCAGAGGATTAGATTTACTAGGTTCAAAATATTCTTAGAGAAATCAACCATCAATATTTGCATTTTCAATATCACTGACGTGAAAGTGGAACTAAGTCCAAAATTTAGGAAGTTATGTGCACAACAATTATAACGAAGACGTAAATATATAGACAGAACGACAGCTAACAAAGTCCATCATTCCTCAAATAATTTATCATCCTCCCAACAGTTATATAATCATTTCGAAAATCAACGACAGGCTCTTTTTTGGATTGTCTCGTTGCTGATATTCCGAATGTTATTTCATCAGTTCTATTTGGCATATATGCACCCTCTGCGAATTGCCTCGAAACAGCTAGTTTGACACACGTTGACATGGAATAGATGGATGTGGCTAGTAATGGGATCCAAGTCATTACAAATAAGACTAAAATTTATATCCGTTGTACAAGCGAGTGGCTAAATGGAATCAGTAGTTAACTAGATAAAGCATTAGTATTTGAAATGAAAGATACAAAGGTTGGAGTCCTAGGATGAACATTAACTTTGGGATGCAGGTAGATTCAACTGACGAGTACCAAATAGAACGACGCCCTCGTCCCGCATACCACCACTAGCTACATTCGATCCCTTCTCTATAAAACACAGATTCCGTTAAAATCTCTCTTAGCAAGATAAAGCTCTGACTATTTTATGCTTACGTACGGATCGAATCAAGACAGATTGGTTGGTAAATTTTCCATCAATCACCACTGGTAGAGAGCTTGAGAAGATACTACAAGATTCCTGTGTAAATTTCTAGATAAAATCCATTTTGTTTGCACCCGATTTTGAGACTGATTTAGAAATAATCGAAGGGGAATAATACGGACTGTTGCTAAGATTTTTGGTTGTGGAATGGTGGCTTAATGATTCAAGTACTCACCATTCAACCAATAAGTTGCAAGTTTGACCTTTGCCCCACCTATTTCGTTTTAGGTAGCCGGGTAATATCATGAGCCCTGACGCAATTTGGATTAAAGCTGAGTAGCTTTTGACCAACATTTTTTTCAATTAAACAAATTATGCTATTAAAAAACACTTTCGTCAAACTTTTAACTATGTTCCATTTTTTCATCAATATATTACTAATCGAAATAATACAAAAAATCAAATCAGCATCGACTACCCTGAGGATAGTCTTTAAAAATTACTTATAGGGTGCATAGTTAAAGTTCATTTAGATCTCAACATTCATTATAAGCAAATTGATGACGTAGATGTGGGTTTATGTTTAGACCTAACTTTCACAGACTTTTTCCTAGCCAATTTAGAAGACGAAATCTTTCAGGAGGTTACTGAGGAAAAAGATTTATACTTTGGTATGGCCGAAGATGAGGAGAGTCCACTCTCCCTTTCGAAATGTTCACACATGGCCACGCATATTCAGTCAGTGCCTGCATTCTACGGTATTACTGTTGTTTACGAAGTTTAGAGGACGAAAAGGGGATGTTCAGCGCTTTAACCGAAGTGTGGTACATATATATTTGGTGCCTCCTAGTACCAATGTTTGTGCCTAAATAAATGGAAAATATTCTTACATAGATGATAAACTGATTATTATTGATAAGAGTAAAAATGGAGAAGAGCTCTTAAACCATAACGAAGGAATAATAGTTCACGATAACATGGGAAAAAGACGTTAAGGATATGGACAGCTTACGAGAAACCTCTGTACTTAAAACTAAAATTCAACGGCGAGGTAGCTAGCGATATTCTATATGATGAACTAGTAAGGAAGCCCCCGAATGCCCTGGCACGGCCGAGAGTGGGGAGAGTCCGCTCGCCCTCTCGAAATGCTCTGGCCACGCGTATATAGCCTCTGTCAGGGAAGTCCTACTCACTGCCTTCTCGTGGCGGGGGTGTTGTTTACAAAAATGAGAGGACGAAAAGCGAATGTCCGGTGCTTTAACCGGATTCCAAACTGATGGTGCACATGGGCTCCAGTATCCTGAGGGAACAAATGGCGTATGAACCAATAGTTGGTCACCGGCAACCATGGGACTGCATCTCCTTACGATGCTCCACTGCCTTGTGGATCAAACCTTTAGGTCGAAGACTCGAGGAGTGGCCCCCTAAGTAAACCACCTGTTTCGGTTTGGGCACCCGGGCAGTATCACAGCCCTCACACACATCGAATGAGATTTGTGTGGCGCATATGTATTTGGTGCCTCCTTGTACCAATATCTATGTGTTTAAATAAATAAATAAATAAGGAAGATTAGAAGGATATTATACAGAGCTAGAGTCTTAGTTTTCCGTTTTCTAGTGTACTAATCGTGTCTATTCAAATAAGGATAAGCCAACTAATTTTGCTTTTTTGATGTATAACCACCAATTTACCTAATTCTGTGGATAAAACCATGTCGAGCGTAACATCAGGCTACTTAACCAATAGATGAGTAGTCAGCTCTTAATGTGGTTCGGGAAGAGCCAAATGAAAACACGACGTGGTTCAATCTTATTACAATCGGTTGACAGTAGTTATGCAGTAAGCAACACCAAACAGTCACGACTGACGCACAATCCACCTTTGCGGTTTTTCAACGAGGTTAGGTTTAGTCTCCTACATATAGCAGGAGCAGGGTTTGAGCCCACAATTGTAGTTTACTTATTCGGAAGTGTCATTTCCTTAGCCTGGTAAGACTTCATAGACGACCGTATAAGCTTTCCACATTCATTGTTTGTTTGATTTTCTACAATCTCGTCAATGAATCACTATTTATATATTTGTGTACTTACCACTGTAATTTTACGAATTGTTAATTTTATGTTTATTTTTTTCGAATTTTGACCTACTTCTTGTGTTGAAGCATTCACCTGATTTCTATGTAACAAAGTTAGAGAATGAAATCATCGAAGAAGTTACGGAGAAACTAGATTGATACTATAATGATCAGTCTGCTATCCAGAAAAAAGCTTCCAACATATTATATTCTGTATACCAGCTAACTAAGCTCATATGATTTTGAGATGGTAAAGATTTGTAGCTCATGTGGATGATTTCTATGGAGCTTTGTTCTCTGATGGTCTGGTCGTCAAGCCTTCATCGTTCTTCTGAACGACATCAGTACAAACTTCAGGTAGAAGTGAAGTGTTCGAATTTCTCCACATGAGGTTCACAACCTACAACGCGACGGTGAGAGCAGTTCTGCCCTGTATTTGTAAGACCTGGCCCCTCCCAGTTGATGATGTTAAACGACTCTTTGTGTTTGATCATCGTTGTCTCCGAAGGATTGCCGACATCCAGTGGCAACACCATGTTGGTAATGCAGAGGTTCGGTGTCGTGTGTTTGAATACAGAGACGATATTTCAATTAGTGTCGCCATCTTGAAACACCGACTCGGGTGGCTCGGGCACGTCTTACGAATGTCGATGTTGGGACTGGTTGGAAAAAATGGAGAGGTGGTCAGTGTATGACATGGTGTTGTGGTATGAATTAATGCTGCATAGGACTGGAATCTGTCGGTCTCTCGTGATTGTCTCATAGATGGTGTAACACAGTAGCTAGATGTTATCAGATGTGGCCCAGAGTAGAAGCCAGTGGCGATCCTTCTATAACTTCCTTTTACTCTCTTTATAAAAGTGAACATAACTTCTTTGACTGAAATTATATTTTTTGGTTGCATTTTGCTTGGCCGAACTGCTTCTCCGATTATTATTATTCAGTCAGTCAGTCAGCTACAACGTAGGACCAGGCACATGTGTGCATCGGTCCAGGTTGCCATACCGCATCAACACAACAAGATAAACACCAGATTCATAACAGTGGTTAGGTAAAAGGTGGTAATATATAAGAGAAAGATTGCATATAGAGATATAGTACAAGAAGAAAGAATTGGTTCGTAGAAAGAAAGATATGAAGCGATTTTAATCTCATAGTTTAAGGGAAGACAGGGAGTGTATACACCGACGCCATTGTGATCGATTCTGAGCCATGTCACCAAGAGTCTCCAACCATTGGTTACGATAGTCACGCGGACCCCAACCAAGTAGTCTGCATCTACCAACATGGCTCAGACTAGAGGTTAGTGACTGTCACATACTAATTCTTTTCGTTGTTGTTCTTTTTATTACATGCTCTTTATATTCTCTATTTCTTCACAACCTCATTTTCAGTGTGGGATATATATATATATATATATATATATATATATATATATATATATATATATATATATGGTGTCGCCTTATACCAATATTTGTGTCTAAATATATAAGCGAATAAAGTAGTCTATTTAATTTTCGTTAGATCTTAATCCTATGGAAGCCAACTTTAACAAAATAACAGATTACTTCATGCAACATCATCACCTAAAACAGATTGCTGTAATTTAAAAACTATTGAAAATGAATGTTTATTCAGGTAATCTTTTAAAAACGAGACTTACTTGCAATAATTAGTTTCAATGAGCCTAGCAGAATTATTGATATCTCTATGGTAAACGAAAATATGAAAACAAAAGCCTTTAGTAAGAAAAATGATATGGAGCTGAACAAAATGCTAAGACCAGTTTTATGGTGGTTATAGGTAACCAACGGGATGAGTGAACCAAGATATTGAGTGAGTGGTTGACATAATCTCGCAAGCATCAAGAACAACACAAAACGATAGTAGCTACCAATAGGCGACTAATTAGTGTGGATTTTTAGCCTCATGACATCTACGAGCAGTAACATGTGCTTCCGATCTCAATGGCATTGTAATACTTCTAAATCGCAGTATGGCGCTGAGATACCATACCGAAGTAAATTCGCATATTTATGAACGTCGTTAGTATCTTTAGCGAGAGGGATGAGAAGCCGGTTTTCTGCATCGGTGATCGATCTGAGCACAGCAAAAACCAGAGTGCTTTATGCCACTCTAAGCTACCTTTGGTCCCGGTGTATCTTTAATTTGACTGTAAAGTCAGGTACAGAACTGGTCGACGGAAGGAGAACGTGCGAAACCTACCTCCCTCAAACTGAGGATGCTGTCGAATTGATGTTCAACCAATTTTACTTCAGCAAAACTGTTCACGTCCAATGTCAACAACTTCCATATAATGCCGGAGTCTGGTAATGTGTATTTGCTCACACTGAACGTAATTAGTATCACCATATTGAAAAGCCGACTTCCGTGGCTTATACATATTTTACGAATATTAAACCAACTAAAACAGGGTGTATTGCCTCCGTGAGACTGTAATTGGCGGAGTGTAACACAGAAGTGGTCTGTTTATTACATGGTAATATGATATGAGCGGCAGCTGTATAGCACTGGCATGTATTGATTTGTGATGACTCCTTGGTTTGCAATTGAGAGATCACACAACACTGGCTTGAAACACTACCAGATATGGATCGAAACACAAACTAGTGGTGAGCTCATGGTAGTCTTCTATAACATTCATCATAAACGTAAAAAGAACCTTCTTGAGCTGATGAAATTAATCTTCATCGTATTTTTGACTGAACTGTATCTGCAAATAAATATTACACTTGTTTATTTATTGAATGTCTATGTGACCACCTCCTTCTTCTTTATTATATTCCCATTCTATCTTGTGTGAGACTGTCTATTAACGTCTAGTTATATGGATGTTTTTAGTACGATACATTAAATGTTGAAAAGATTAGTTGTAATTATAATACCGTGTAAATGTAATGCACTATGGGTTGTGTTACCGGGATTTTTAAAATACGATCGGAAGCGTGGAAAATGAAATTTAGAGACCCGTAAAGAGCTTCAGTAATAGACACACACGTACTACTTAATGACCTGGAAAACTGTATGAGTAGACCATCAAAAGTGACTTACCTAATACGCTGAACCAATTCCGATTTTTCTGAATCAGAAATCAAGTCAGTTTTGTTGACAATGAGTACATCAGCCAAAAGTACCTGTCTGAAATAAAAATAAGTGTCAAATATATTTAAGAACCTTTCATATTCGCTCATCTCATCCCAAGTAGACTTCATAAGATATGACAAACAGTGTTTGGAATCCAAAACTGTTACGATTCCATCAAGGCAAATTTGACTACATAAATCTTCGTCTAACCAGAAGAGTGATGCAACAGGACCTGGATAATTAGGAAGATCACCTTTCAAGAACACAAATAACCTGGGTCAGCAAGTCCAGATGTCTCAATTAGAATATAATCAAATTTTCCCTTCCGCTTCATTAAATTTTCAATGGCTCGCACACTTGCATCTTTTAAAGAACAGCATAAACAACCGTTACGCAATTCTATCCATTCTTCAAAGAGGTTGCCATCTTTTTCACTCCATGCAATACTAGACTCTACAGCTGAACCTTCTCCAAAATCATTTAAAAGAACAGCAATCTTTTTGTTATGAGCATAGGTTAGAATATAATTCAAAAGAGTAGTTTTTCCAGCACCTAAAATCAATTTGATAAATGTATTGTAGCTATCAATGCAACCTCAAAACGCAAATTATTGACAATGACGAAATATACGTTTGAAAATAAAGTGGATACAAGTTAGTTGATGTCCATTTATTTTCGAAGTCTGACATTTGGTGGACCAGGAGTGTATTAAAGTAGATTAACTTTAACTAATGAGTTGCTTGATCAAGATGTGTGAACAGCTTGCACAGCGGTATACTCTATGCACATTAACACCATAGATTTAGCGAACATAAAAACCAGTGGTTAGAAAGTACTTGCATTTAGTAGAATCCCTGTCTACAAAGACATTAAGGTAAATGATATTTTGAGGCAATAAAATCACAACGAACATTAGGAGCTATGTATCTTAAAATGTTGCACCGCATAGATGGTAAGAATGTAACTTTATATCACAATGTATTCTGTGTCATTAAAATACTTAACACATTGACAAAATGCTTAGTTCCAACTGCATCAATTGAACAGACTATCTATCAGTGTGATGCATATATATTTGGTGCCCCCTTGTACCAATATTTGTGTTCAAATAAATAAATAAATAAACAGGCTATCAGATTAGGTATTTCTTGTCGCTTAATTTCAGGGTTTACTATATCTTAAAACGTCTTATTGCAGTATTCATAATGATTAAATTGTATTCAGACATGCTAATTCCAATTACGTCGACATGTAAAATTGGGGTGAGCACCTAAATGCCTTTATCACTTACAATACAGATATCTGTACGTTGATTTTACGTCTACATTCGAAAATCGATGAAACAAATTTGCGTTTAGAATCTTCGAGAACAATACGAGAATGATACGTTAAAAGACTATTAACCAAACAGCAGTAGCTGAAGAAAAAATTCGCCCAGAGAAATAAAGAATAATGCTCAAACGTCCGTTACTAACATGATGAACCATCACATCTAAAAACAAGCCATAAAGCAGTATTCTCATGTCTAATTCAAGTGAGAAGACCGGAATCAGACTGAGTATGTGTAGGGATATGATGAACTGTAACAAAAGAAAATACCACTTATATGATTACCAAACTCAGATTTCTAGAGGACTTCAAAAAGCGAAGTTCGGACAATATAAAATGAAAACTAACCAAGGTATCCTGACAGAATCGTCACAGGGACTTTGTCCAAAGTGGGTGAACCTAAATTCGTATCACGTACTAAGTCAGGAATAATGTCATCCATCAGTAAGGGTATTGTATTGAATCTGATAGATACTACACAACTCTAATCAAGCCTTTGAATACTGATGATAATTTGAACATAGAGTGGCCTGGTACTTCTGAAAATAAAGAGGAATTATGTTAATACTAAATATGCAATGTTGAAGCAGGGAATTATTAAGACCAGGTTCACAAAAGAAAGTAAACGTCATATGCCATGATCAAAAATTAGAACTGTCCATTACATAAAGTCAACTCGGTATGTAGTTTCTCAACGGTTGCTCACTATCCCAAACTGGATGTTGAGCATAAGGTTGGCGATCTCACCTCGTGGAAAAACCTTTCTAAAAATTGGTCAACCAGAAAATAACACTAAGATCGTTTAAACCCTGCCCTGGGAGTTGGAGGGTCTTTAAATAGAAGGGTTATGACGCCGTATGGTGTAAGCTGATACTTGGAAGTCAAGGACTAATGCTCTTTCTGACAACCACACCAATTAATATAGGTATTTGGAACGTCTGAAAAATGTGGAGGACCAGAAGTATCATTCAAATAACACTGGACATGAGAGGATACAACTTGGCAGTGTTTGGAATATACGAAACTGATTTTAAAAAATTTGAGAAATGAGTAACTTCGGTAAGTGTTAACATACTTTTGTCATGAAAAATAATTTGACCTACGTCCAAAAGGAGCGATGTGTGTGTCGGAGTAGGATGTAAGGAAACTAGGGGCGGCCAAACCAAAACATGGCATCAGCCCATGAAGTCATCAAACATTGGACTGGTACATGTTAATGGGTGTAGACTACCCGGTCGAAATTCACGTAATTATCGTAACCAGTGGTTAGAGACTTTGAATGACATGGATTAAAATCGTTTGCAATGGCAAAGATACAGCCCTTCATCGTCTTTCCCAAAGATCTTAGCTACTGAATTTCTCATAAATTTTTTCACTACACTAATTTGTATCTTCTTGAATCGTCTTCGATGCCTGGCCTTTTCTATCACCACTAACACTGTTAATATCTTTATTATTATGGGATTTGGTTTGGCAATTCCATCTTTCCGTGCTAACGGGGTATGGAAACTTGAACCGACATACATACGTACCAGGTTCTGTGTTGCGACTGATTGACTTATGGGTTAAATTAATAGTCAACAACTTACATTGATGGACCAATTTACTCTCACTACTCTAAAATCTTTAAATAATTCGACATAAACAATAACAGCTTGCTTAATATAAACTGCTCGTAACTTACAGTAATTCGATAGTACAACCTGGTTAGCGTTATTTAGCGAGTTAGTTTTCTACGGGATGGGGTCGCTAACCCCATGCCCAACCCTTCTCCTTTGTCCAGGCTTGGGGCCGACAGAAGCCCCCGGAGGAACTCCAGGCGGAGTTGGTAATACAACCTAAAGAATATTTATTTGAACATATATACTGGTACGAAGGGGCACCAAATACATATGCGCCAGACAAGTCATGTGATTTATGTGCGGGCTATGATACTACCCGGGTGTCCAAACCGAAGTAGGTGGTTTTCTTGGGGAGCCACACCCAGAGCCTTCGATCTAAGGGTCTGATCCACAAGGCAGTGGGGCAACGTCAGGAGATGCAGTCCCATGGTAACCGATGACCAACGTTTGGTTCAATCGCCATTTGCTCCTTCAGGATACTGAAGTCCATGTACACCATTGGTTTAGAATCAAGGTTTCCCAACGCCCCTAGGTGGACCCTCCGTATCCACCAACCTGGTTAAAGCACCGGACATTCACTTTTTCATTCTCGCAATTCCGTAAACATTACCCCCGCCACGAAAAAGCAGTGAGTAGGGCTTCACTGCAGTAGTTATATACGCGTGTGCAAGTGAGAGCATTTAGACAGAAAGAACTGACTCTCCACACCCTCGGCCGTACTAGAGCATTTGGGGTCACCTAAAGAAAATAATCAGCTATCTCATCTAAGGTCCCAAGTATAAAATGGTAACAGTGTTTTGTAGCATCATTAGGACAAGTTTTTTCGGAGACATGGGCAATTATATTTATAAGACTTCATGACATCTGGTATCACCTGTTGCGGTAAGAACCAGAGTGCTTTAAAATACACATTCCTAATATTATACCAACATACATTTGGCTAGCAAGACAAGTCGTTCAAACTCTTGAAATCAGGCCTGAGGACGTTTTGCCTTTGAAACATAATTGACACTAAATCCACGTATTCACAGTAAACCATGCATATAAACGCATCCTTAAAGAATAAAATCGCACTCATTAAGTTGACAATTTGTGGGTAGCATTGTCGTATTTTTGCTTAAACACCTGATCAACGTGTTCGTCCATGAAATTGAAAACACTTCAAGTCGATAAAAACAAAATTATTACTATCAATTTTCATGTTTACATCGAAGTTGAAACAGAAATAAAGTGGGTTTAAACGATGAATGACGATCACTACGTCGAAGAGACAACAGACAGCAAGCAACAGAAAGAATTGATTGTAGAAAAAAAGTGATTTGTTTTGTTTTGTTGCCACAAATTACCATGGCTAAAAGGTTGTGCAGTTTCGTCCCTAGCTTTGATATCAGTCAGTCAGCTACAACGTAGGACCAGGCACATATGTGCATCGGTCCAGGTTGCCATACAGCATCAGCACAACAAGATGAACACCAGATTCATAACAGTGGTTAGGTAAAAGGTGGTAATATATAAGAGAAAGATTGCATATAGAGATATAGTACAAGAAGAAAGAATTGGTTCGTAGAAAGAAAGATATGAAGCGATTTTAATCTCTTAGTTTAAGGGAAGACAGGGAGTGTATACACCGACGCCATTGTGATCGATTCTGAGCCATGTCACCAAGAGTCTCCAACCATCGATTACGAAAATCACGCGGACCCCAACCAAGTAGTCTGCATCTACCAACATGGCTCAGACTAAAAGTTAATGACTTTAAGCAATGATGCCACGTTTTGGTTTGGCCGCCCATAATTCTCTTCCAACCATCTCTAACACCCGTTAGCATTGCACGACGTGGTAATCGGTGTTCAGGCATACGTAACACGTGGCCCAACCATCTCAGTCGATGAAGATTCATAACCTCATCAACTGATTTACCATCATTTCCTAATACCCTGCGTCTAACCTCACTATTACTTACCCAGTGATCTCAGCAGACGCCAGCAATATTTCTAAGGCATCTGTGGTCAAATACTAATAGCTTACGGGTGTCTTCTACTCTTAATGGCCATGTTTCGCTGCCGTAAATTAAAACAGAACGGACTGCAGCGCAGTATACTCGTTCTTTTATTGATAGACGGATATCTCGCCTTCGCCACAGGTGACGTAAATTGGCAAAAGCCAAACGATCTTTTCGAATTCGTGCTGAGATTTCGTCCGATACCAGCCCATTAGGGCTGATCAGACTTCAAAGATAAGTGAAGTTGTCGACGCGTTCGACTACTTCACTCCCTATCCTTAGTTCAGGTGTTAACGCAGACCAGTCCTGAAGCAACAACTTTCATTTAGAGGGAGAGGAGCGCATTCCAAACATTCTGGCATTGTTGCTTAGTGCTACCAGAAGACTCTGTATTTTATCAGCGTCTTCACCAAACAGGACTATATCATCTGCGTATTCTAAGTCGATAAGTGGACCTCCTGGAAGAAGATCAATACCCGAGAACTCAGTCGACGAGAAAGTTATTTCCATCAGTAGATCTATGATGAAGTTAAACAAAAATGGGGAAAGTGGGCAGCCTTGACAGACACCACTTGAGGTTGCGAAAGTAGATGACAGTTCTCCATAAGCTCTCACTCGACTAGTAGTGTTCGAGTAAAGAGCCTTCACAAGGTTTATGTACTTCTGGGGTACGCCTTTCAATGACAGACACTGCCACAGAATCTCGCGGTCTACCGAGTCAAATGCTGCCTTTAAGTCAAGAAAGACCATCATCGTCGGACGCCGATAAGTATGCCTGTGTTCTAGAACCTGACGAATGGTGAATATGTGGTCGATGAAGCCACGACCAGGTCTGAAGCCAGCTTGGTTTTCTCGTGTATGCAGTTCACGAGTCTTAGGCGTCTGATTATTATTGAGGCTAGTATTTTAGATATTATATTAGTTAAACTAATCCCTCTGTGGTTGTCACAGGATGATTTTGATCCTTTCTTGTATATTGGAACGATAAGTGATTGCGACCAGTCAGATGGAATAACGTCTAACTCCCAGATCTTAGCTAAAATATTAGTCAACCTAATCGCTAAAATTGTACCACCATCCTTAAAGACTTCTGGAGCCAGTCCATCTGGACCAGCTGCCCTTCCTCGTTTCAGATTATCTATAGCCTTTTGAACTTCAGCAAGAGCTGGGGGACCTACTTCAATGTTCCATTCACACTGTCTGGGAATGGAGGGTAGTTGTAGAGTAGCTGAAGGCCAGCTGAGTAAGTCAGTCAGTCAGTAACAACGTAGAACTTCGTATGTACGTACATCAGTTCGAGTTGCCACACCACATTAGCACAGAGATGCCGTGGTCGATTCAAATCCCATAGTGGTAGAGGTAATAAGAGTATAAGCAGTAATCGGAAAGATTAGTTTGGAGATGTTACTTAAAGAGTATAATACAGCAAAATAAACTTGGGAAGAGAAAAAAAAGAGACAAGGGGGAATCAGGAGATCAAAATTTGGGAAAACACAAAGAGTGGATGCACCTGAGCCATTGCAAACGATTTTGAGCCATGTCATTCAAGGTCTCTAACCATCGGTTGCTATCATCTCGTGGTCCCCAACCAGGTAGTCTACACCTACCGACATGACTCAGTCCACTTGTCAGTGACTTCATGGACTTGTGCCATGTTTTGGTCTGGCCGTCCCTAGCTTTCTTCCAACCTACTCCTATACCACTGAACATCGCACGTCGAGGCAGTCGGCCGTTGGGCATACGTAACACGTGTCCCAGCCATCTCAACTGATGAAGTTTCACCACTTCATCAATTGATTTGCCATCCTTAACTAGTACCCGTTTCCTAACAACTGTGTTACTTACTCGATGGTCCCATGATATACGAGCAATGTTTCGAAGACACCTATGATCGAATACTAGTAACCTACGAATATCCTCTACTCTTACCGGCCATGTTTCACTGCCATAAAGTAGGACGGGACGAACTGCTGCGCAGTAAACACGTCCTTTGGTTGATAGACGGATATCTCGCCTACGCCATAAATGACGCAAGTTGGTAAAAGCTAGTCGAGCCTTCTGTATCCGTGCTGAGATTTCGTCACATACCAGACCACAAGGACTGATGAGACTTCCAAGATAAGTGAAGCGGTCGACACACTCAACTACTTCACTCCCTATCACTAGTTCGGGTGTCGATGTAACCCAATCCTGAAGCAACATTTTGCATTTCGAGGGAGAGAATTGCATCCCGAACATGCTTGCATTGTTGCTTAGAGTGGTCAGAAGACTCTGCATTTTGTCAGCGTCTTCACCAAATAAAACTATGTCATCAGCATATTCTAAGTCAACAAGTGAACCTCCCGGTAGAAGTTCAACCCCTGGAAATTTAGATGAGGAGAGTGTTATCTCTAAAAGTACGTCGACCACAAAGTTGAACAAGAAAGGAGAGAGTGGACAGCCCTGACGAACACAACTTGATGTAATCAATTCTGATGACAGTTCGCCGTAAGCTCTCACTCTACCAGTTGTGTTCGAGTAGAGAGCCTGAATAAGGTTAATGTACTTCTTTGGTACTCCTTTCAGTGACAAACACTGCCATAGAACCTCACGATCAACAGAGTCGAATGCCGCCTTAAGGTCGAGAAATACTACCATTGTGGGGCGTCTAAACGTGTGTCTGTGTTCTAGAACCTGACGTAGTGTGAATATCTGGTCTATACAACCACGTCCAGGTCGAAAACCGAAGGCCAGCTGAACTGTTCTCTGAAATGTTCCGCCCATCGTTCTAAACGTCTGGACTGGGAGCAGATGAGAGTGTCGTCTTTTTCCGAAATAATCTCACTTACACTTGACTTATTAATTCCAGTTTCTTTTATTAGTCTGTAGAGCTGTCTTGTGTTCCCTATAGCCGCCGCCTTTTCCATCTCTTTCGCTTTCGTTGCCCACCACTGCTCACGGTCGTTTCTTAGACTTTTTCTTAACCTAGATCTGATTTTTTGTCGCTCTTCATCATGTTCGGAACCTGATGGGACGAGTTTGCGAGAATCCATCAGTGTGATAGACTTTGAAGAAATCCACTGGTTCTTTGAAACTCTGTGGTTTAAGTTGCTAATAGAAGTCACTGCTGCTTCCACAGCTGCTTGTATGTCTTTCCAAGCAACATCTGGGTCAACCTAGTTTTCAGAACTACCTAAGTGTTAACTCAGTTGTTCTTGGAACCTATTTTTGGTTTTCTCGTTACTCAACTCAGTTCTAATGGGTCTTTTCAATGTGGCTTTTTTGCGTCCGGTGAGGCGCAAGCAGATGCGTGCCCGTATTAGGGCGTGTTCGGAGTCCAAACAGGTACTCCAGAATGAGCGACAATCTTCTACCGACCCTCTCTAACGATGACTGATGGCAATATGGTCTATTTGAGTCCATCGTTGGTTTGGTGTAGGGGGTCGCCATGTTAGACGATGTCTCTCCTTATGCTTAAAATTTGTGTTTGCTAAAAATAAACGATTGTCTGAGCATAGTTGCAGCAGACGATCACCATTATCTGTTCGCTGTGCCGGAATGCTAAAATATCCACCTAAATGCCTTTCTGTTTGGTTTAAGCTACCTATCTGACCATTAAAGTCACCCCCTACGAGTACTATGTCTGAGCGTTTAGCTTTCTGAAGAAGTTCAGAGAGCTTTCTGTAAAAGTCATCTTTCAATCATCTGAGCTGCAGTCAGTGGGAGCGTAGGCAGAAACGACAAAAAGGCAACGACGTGTGTCCCTATCCTTCCGAGTTCTTACGGAGCCGTTTAGCCGAACAGCACATAGACGACTGTTGACGGGGATCCACTCTAGCAGTGCTTGTTCCACCCTCATGCTTAGTGCTATGCCTACACCTGCCAGTCCACGAGAACTGGCCATCGGGTCACCAGATACACGTAGGGTGTATCTCGTTGGCTCTCCGTTTTGCCGAGGTGAGGTCAAGTGAATGACCACGCTGGAATGCTGTATGCGTGTTTTGGAGACACAGCATACATCAATGGAAAGAGACTCTAGGGTTTTAGCCAAGGAAGCCTGCTGACCAATTTGACATAGAGTGCGGACGTTGAAAGCTCCAATATGTAGTTTGGAGCGAGGTTTCAGTAGACCTGGAACAGAGTTTTGAGCACTAGAATGGTGACACTTGAGGAAGAAGCCAAAGGAGGAAGTTTAGGGTTGAAAGTCTGTGTAGGAGGAATAATAGGAATTGAAGAGGAAGGTTGATTATGAATACAATGGTCTTGGGTGCTGTTAGAGGTATGAGGGCGGTTATCACTTCCCGGTTGCCCACACCGTGGAAGGGTTCTTCTGGAGGTACCTGAAAAGAAAATCGGATTAGAAGTGGTCTTAGTGACCTGAGAGCGTGACCGCAGTGCCCAAGGGACAACTGCTTGAGGCCGGTCGCGCACGGTCTTTTCGTGGAAGGTTTTTGACGTGTTAGCTCCGTTCTTCAAAAAGCCTTACCGCCGGAGACGGAAATCCGTGAGGTAAGGTGAGGTGTGCATTTTAAGGGGCGAACTTTTCTAACCCCACCCCTCCTTGTGGGAAGGCATCATCGCTGTAATGCTGGTTGTCTGAAGGAAACACCTTACTGTTGTCACACCTCTGTACAGTCAGCAGTACGACTTCGCCTTCGGACCTTAGGTTTGTTGCTTTTAGTCTTACCGCTCTTCAACCGACCTGTCTGACATGGTAGGACCTTGAGGAACGGTTGTTCCAGCCAGTATAGCTCGGTTGCTTCATCACGATAGACAAGCCCGACCACCACGTCAAGGTAGCAACAACGGTCGGGGATATCAGTAACTGGTTCGTTAAAACGGAAAGAAAATTTGAATATATGAATATTTCCATAAAATATCACTGTAGTTTACTTTTTGAAGTACGAAAACCGTTAAGTTGGTTCTGAGCATATAAACGGATTTATTTTTTTAACGAATAAAACTTGATGACATGAACCTTTGGTCATGTGGACAGAACTCCGATTCCCAAGAATGACAACCAACTGCTTTGGACAATTAAAGGTACCTTGTTATCAAGGCAAAAGACTAATGAAGAACAGGAAAAGCTAATAGTTACGTTTCTTATTCGTTTCACCTTAGTTTAAATCTGGAAACTATATCAACCATTCAGACAGGCGATGGATTGATGTGTACCAGATACTGACTGATTTGAAAGATCTGCATACTCAAAAGCCAAGCATTTACTCTGGTTATACAGTGACCGTATTATGAGATTCAGTTAAGGACCCTGAATTTCAAGGTCGATAACAGTGAACTTAACAGAGAGAAGTAGTACCACCAACATGTGTCGATGAGGTATTTTACAGTATAAAGAGCATTACTTGTCCGGTTGAGTGAGAAGGGGTTATAGACATCGACTATGGAGACAATACAATCTTAAATGGGTTTATGGGCTGCCGAGAGACTTGACAAGTGTTATACAGGAGTCTGCCCAACGCCGAATTTCGCTGGAATAACGTGAGTAGTTAACAAACTTCGGAATACCCAGAGTGAATCCTGAGACACATAACAGAAGTGAAATATGTCGTACAGCTATTGAAACGTTCATCCTTTACAATGTTTTTACGTCTAGTCCAAGAAACCAATAAGGGGGAAATAAATAACTAATCACCTTGTTAATCTTCTAAGATTAGTCCAATCAAAGTCACTGATAGAGCTCGTAGATGTAGGGCAACTGTTAAAATGTCAAGAGTTCTTGACTGTCATAGATCGACTTATAACAGACGGTGGGATAAAATGCGAAGTTTTCATGGAAATCACAATTAAAATGCGTAACGACTGATGCTCCAGCATCTGCCAACTACTCATAATGTTGTAAAGTAATACGCTTCTTCGCTTCAATAGATATCTTTAAACATATACTATTTTTACGGGGATTGCAGTTTTCATGTGGCGTAATGTGGGAAAAAGACAAACACGGAAGATGTTTGGGGTTATGCTATAGATTTTTTTAGAAGTGGAAGCATAATTAGACAACCCGTCGTATATTTAGGCGAAAAGTAGACGATGCTGCGACATTTGAAACAGTGACAAAAAGAGGGAAGTTCGCAGCGTTTCACTCCTACAAGCGAAAAAGCAAACATTTTGGCGCGTTTCCCATTTATTTTCTAACGCACTTCTCCCTTTTTCGTCTTTATTTCCCCTTTATTGGTTATTTGAGGCGCGTTTGTGAAATTTGTGGGAAAAAGCAAGGGAACGAATTGTCAGGCATGTGTACATGACTTACGTCTGAAAATAAAAGTAATCAATAGTAACTAGAGAGGGCCAGTCGTAAAATTATGACAGTCCAATTATTAGACACACGAAACTGCAGTGTGTCGTATGCACTTAAAGTAACCGCGCCTCAGGCTTCAAATGGTTCAGATGATTGTGGACGGAATAGAAAAAGCTTTCGCTTAACAGGCTTCCGTGTCTAGTAGCAGGGGATCACCAAATCCTCCAGGCAGGAACCTAGGTATGTTAGCAATAAAAGGGGAAAAGAAATTGGTAAATCATAGTGTGATACTGTCCTTGGTTCTTAAGAATAGGTCAAGTTGCCTCTTAAAGGACTCCTGAGAAGTCGCATAGACTAGCTCGGCCGGCAGCGAATTGCAGCATTTGACAACTCTTAAGGAGTAGAAGTTGTGTCTACATTCCAGTTTCTGGGTGTTACCCCTTAGGTTATTATTCGAACTAAGCTTAAGTAGGTGTTTAAGAGGATGTCCAGAAGTGTTAAGAATACTATAAGCCATTAATAAATCACTTCTAAGACGCCCATACTCTAATGTGTAAAGGTCTGTTGAATGGAGGCGTTCTTCGTAAGGCTTAGATTTGAGTCCTCGAACTGATTTCGTGGCTCGCCGTTGGATACGCTCCAAAGTGACCTTGTCCTTTTGGAGTGAGGGTGGGAGTACTTTGTTTCCGTACTCTAAATGGAGACGGATAAAATTATTGAAGATTGTATGGAAAGTTCTTCCGTCAAACTGGCCAAAAATGAGCTTCAACGTTACCAGTGCAAGGTTTGCTCGGAATGCATTTTTGTCACAGTTAGCGTAAGACTTTAAATCATGGGGCACCAGGACTCCTAAATCTTTTTCGACTTAGGATACTATTAGAGAGGAGTTTCCTAAGTTGTAACTGTAGTTTGCGACATGTCGCAGATGAACTACTTTACACTTTGAAGTGTTAATGGTAAGTCCGTTATCGTCTGCCCAACTTTGAAGTCAAGTCAGATCCCCCTGAAGTGCCTGTGTATCGTCTTGGTTGCTTATCTCTCCTCAAAGTTTCACGTCGTCGGCAAAAAGTAATAAGTCTGACGTTACCTGTGTAGGAAGATCGTTTATATAGATCAAGAAGAGAAGAGGCTATATGACCTTCATGTCGGATATCTTCGTCACATGATAGTGCGGTCCTAGGATTTTGTTAAAGTAATGGAAAATAAATCTCCAGAGTAAACAGTTTTTTAAGTCTTCAAGATGATACCGACTTCATTATTTCTAATGGATCCAGCTCTAACTGATAACTCCCTGCCGATTGTCCTCGTCATATTTTGGTGCTTCATGCTGTTCACCTTTTACTACGACCAGCCAGAGTAAATTACATGCACTGGACCACTGTTTCGTCGTATCTTTCTGTTCCTTCATTCTCGACTTCTGGTTTGATTGGCTTTGAGACCCTTATATAAGAAAATGTTTGAGATAGTAGAGTTGACGAACGCTGTATCCGTGACATCTCCAGTGGGTTCCATTGTGGATAGTCTAACCGCTAGATCGCACTGATCCCTTTCGTTTCGACAGTCACTTGCGGATATGTTATTTCATACGTTGTTTCTTACTAAAACACATTTCGCAAATGGTTGGTAGACCATCTTATGACACTTGAATATATATGAACCTGTCGTAACTACTCGCGTTTATTTTTCATCTTTGCCATTAACCAATGCCGCATTTTTGAAATATATGGGAGACCAAAAGGACCAGCCAAATAGCTGTGGGAATAAAAAAAGATACAACTTGACAGCTCTCCGATTTGGTGAAACCCATTGAACTTAAGCTGGACAGATAAGGATGAAATCGATAGAGATACTGCTTTGCTCTGATCACGAAGAGGAAAGTGCTCCACACACTTAGGGAGTTGCTCTGATGCTGTCCAAAGAAGCACGAAAATCACCTGAAGGATGGGAATCTCATGGATCCAGGATCATCAAAGCATCCTTTAAAACAAAAAAAGGGGAGACAAAATGAATGTCATCCAGTGTTATGCACCCACCAACGATAGCAACGATGATGATAAAGATCAGCTCTATGAGAGGCTGTAATAGATCATAGAGAAGTGCTCAGGAAAGGACGTGAACATCCTGATGGGAAACCTGAACGCCAAAGTCGGGTCGGACAACACCAGGTATGAAAATCTCATGGGACGACATGGACTGACTGTGATAAGCTTCGATATCAACAGGCCGGATTCCATAAGGATCGGTCGTGCACAGATCCGGTCGTCGAACAATCGATTAAGTGAAACTCCTCACTATACATCAACCTCATTGACTGTGAGAAAGTGTTCGACAGTACGGATAAGATAACATTATGAAAACTTCTTCAACACTACGGAGTACATAAGAAACAAGATCCTCAAATACAACATGGAGAACACCAACCCATTCACACTTGATGGAGAAGATGTGGAATCTTTCACGTACCTAAGTAGCTTCATCGATGAACAAAGAGAATCGGATGCAGATGTAAAGGCAAGGATTGGCAAAGCAAAGACAGTATTTCTACATTTGAAAAACATATGGGACTCAAAACGACTGTCAACCATTATCAAAGTCAGAATCTTCAATACGAACATCAAGACAGTTCTACTGTACGGAACTGAAATGTGGAGAATTACTACAACCATCATCAAGAATGTATAAGTATTTGTAAACAACTGCGAAAGATGTTCAATGTCCATCGGCCGGATACCATCAGCAGCAGTCTACCGTGGGAGAGAACAAATAAGCTTCCAACTGAAAATAAAATTAAAAGACGCTGGAGCTAGATAGGAAATGCGCTACGGAAATCATCAAACCGCATTACTAGATAATCGATAATTTAGTATCCTGAGTGGAAACAGAAAAGAGAAGGGCCAAAGAGCGCACTGCTCTGTGGATTGGAGGCAGACATGAAAAGGATGAATAACATCTGATAACAACTGGAAGAGATTGCCCAGAACAGCTTTTGGTGAAGACTACTGATGGGTAGTCTATGCTGTGTAACACGTGTAACATGAGAAAGTCTCGGAATTGTACATTGGGTAGGGGGTATCATCGGCTGCAATTAAACGCAACTCAATTTCGTAAATGTGCCCTTCAGCTTAGCAACCAATCAGAATGTGGCGGGAATTATTATATCAGCCATCTTTGTACGTAATGTCGGCCGGCTTTCTTCGTTCTGTGCTACTTTTAGCTATTTCTTTTGTGAAGCTATGTAATTAATGTTTCAATGTGCTAAGATGCCGCAGTTAGTGTAATGTTCAACATGTTGGTGTGAAATTTACTTCGAATCAGCATTGTTTTTTGAGTTTTTGCTGCTTCTACTCTAGTCAATGTATTTCTTCAGTCAAGCTGGTTAGTCTTATGTTTTAGAATGGAAAACGGTTTGGTTTTGACTTGTTTTCTAGATATCCAAGCCGAAGCTCGTTTTTTAGCTGAAATAATTGTAGCTGCGCATGTGACTAACTGTCCGCACGTTCATTCCTAACTGTCCTTTATGATGTTATCGGCAAAATAAAAGGAAACAATTTCCGGTTTTTAATTTTTCTTCAGTATTGCGGACAACAATATTCCACCAACGAGTAAAACTAATACTTAGTGCCTAGCAGTAGGGGATGTCAGTAGTGTTTTCGAAAGTACCCAGGCTTTGGACAATCATAGACGAAGTCACAGATGCTACCAGACCATTGCAGAGGGTTTGTTATGAAAAATATGCCATATAGCAGTAATGGAGGGGGTTGTACGCATTACGTAGTGCGTCAAAGCATGCTTAACATTGAAAGGCCAGAAATCTGCTATCAGTGTGTAGTGTATGTTTGCTGTTTTGGCCACAAAAGGAAGCTGAAGGGTCATGATCAGGGAGTAAAAAGGTAACTAACTGTTATTAAGCTCACCTTTTTATAAACCATAATTCACCACTCGCAAATTTGTGTCTTTTTACGGTATGATGTCAACCGTTATCTAATATGTTCACCCTTACCTGCAAATTCTCGCCTTCATATTCGAATTATTTTTGGACAACTGCCTTCCAGTTTGATTGCTTCATACGCCCTGGGAGACTAGATTCCTACATTATTCGTAGTTCCAGTATAACTTTCTCACGCAGTAAGTTCAAAGTAGACACTAGTCTTTCTAAATAAGCATGTTAAGCTAATATCCCTATTCTCTATTTCAGTTAATCGATGAAGACATGTACCACGTGCATCCGCTGTATATTGCCATTTTATTCTAATTCTAACTGTTATATCTTACTTCTGAAAAATAAAATTGCTATGTGCAGCAAATACAGACTTATTGTTTTGATGGTGGTAGGGTGTTCATGGGATTTTTAGCAGGACTGTAGTAATACTCTCACTAAAGAGCTAAGTGAGTGCGTAGAACAATGTAAAGTACCATACAGGGTGCCTTTGAATTACTCGTGTTCCATTAATGTTGGTAGGAGCATTACTTGCTTATCATATGACATTTGAATAAGAAGCTATGAGATTAGACTCAGGGACGGTTAGGATGTGTAACGCGTGTCCATCCATCAGCTGCCGTGGCAACTCATGGTGCCTAGAATAAGTTGTAAGAGGACTCGAGTCTGTAGTTTTCCCAAAAAAATGACGAAGATATGCACCAAATCATCTTATGAAGAGCGTCTCCAATCACTCGACCTCTACCCATTAGAGTATAGGCATCTTAGAGGTGACCTTCTAATGGCTTACAGTATCCTTAAAACTATTGGACATTCTCTTAAGCTTAGTCCCAACACTAACCTTAGGTGTAACACCCAGAAACTAGAGACACAACATAGCAGAACGGACTGCAGACGCAATTCCTATTGTCAAGTGCTGGAATTCGCTACCCGCCGAGCTAGTCCAATCGACTTCTTGGGAGTCCTTTAAGAGGCAACTGGATATATTCTTGAGGATATTATCATGCTATGACTTACCAATTTCTTTTCCCTCTTTTACTGTTAACATACCTAGGTTCCTGCCTGGAGGTTTCGGTGATCCCCTTCTACTAGACACGGAAGCCTGTTAAGCGAAAGCTTCTATTCAGTCCACAACCATTCGAATACATGAACTAGGTGCTGAGTGGCTCTTGTATCACAAGTCCGTTGCAACGATTAAGTA